CACTGAGGAAGGAGAATGTCCTGGAGATCTATAGATAATGGCTATCAGGATCTGGATTGGGTGATAAATTTGAATGTTATGAACCACCAAGGAGGAGAGGTATCTGAGAAATGATGATAGAATGAGAATCTGGAACTGGCAAGCAAATAGCACTCCAGCTCCTCTAGCATGACCAGTAAGTCAGGGGTATGAGTAAAAGCATAAACAATATTACAGAGGGTAGACAGGTATGCTATGTCATCAGGAGAGAACCAACGAGTATCAGAAGATGGAAGGAGTTAGAAAGACAAAGTAAGTTTATTAATTATGGAGCAGGCATTCAAGAGAACATACTGGAAGAAACAATAAGATCTGGAGTAAAACATTGTAGAGATTAGATTGGCAGGGATGGGAGCAAGGAAACAAGAAACTGGGGACAGGGAATAGCACTTGTGCATTGGAAGTCAGGGGTCCAGAATAATTGGGATGGAGACAGTGAAAGGGAGTGGAAATATACTAACTAATGATGAATGAGTCAGAGTGTCAGTGGTTGGAGAGTGATCCCTTGAGGGAGGCAGATGGTTATGCTCTTCAAGATCCTCCAACTTTTTGGAAGATTGTGATGTTGGGGCCTGTACCTCACAGCAGGCAGAAGTACGTATGGCCTGGAGGAGTCCAGTCGAAAAATAAGAGGCGGCCAAGTGAGAAGAGTTTGGTTGAGAAGTCAAGTCCAAAGCACTAGAGAAGACCCTGGGGTACAGACAGATGATTTGAGATATAAAATTCAAGTCTCATTACCTCCCTCCTCAGACTTTCTTTGGGTGGGGTGCCAAAAATAAAGGGAAAGCCATGATTCAGAGAACAAGCGAGATCGTGAGAGGACTTGGAACACATCATAGGAGCACTGGTTGAAGAAAGTAGATGATGTTCAGCCTGGAAAAGAGTAGACAGGATATACTTGATAACTATCTTCAGATAGAGGAAGAAGTGAGCCATGAAAAAGGGATTAGAAGAGGTATCTGTGTGCCATAGTGGATAAGGCATAGGGAACTGGCCTTGGAATCAGGAAGTCGTAGGTTGAAATCTAGCCTCTGATACTTAGTGGCTGGCTATGCCATCCTGGGCAAGTCCCTTAACCTCTTGGTGACCCAGGTGACTTTTCAAGACTACATGTGATGACATGAAATATAGGGGTCCAGCTCTCCGCTTCAGAGCATGCATAGGTATTCTTTGACTATTTACTATCCACTTACTGAAAAGTGGAAGGTGGGGGAGAAGGGGTAAGGCAGTGGGTATAGAAAAGGCTTCTTGGTCAGCTGCCGAGCCAGAACTAAGAGTACAAAAAACAGCCCCAGGGCAGCTAGGTGGTGCAGTGGATAGAGCGCCAGCCCTGAAGTCAGGAGGACCTGAGTTCAAATCTGGCCTCAGACCAAACACTTGACAGTAACTGTGTGACTCTGGGCAAGTTACTTAACCCCACTGCCTAGCAAAAAAAACAAAAAAACAAAAAAAACAACAACAAAAAGGCCCCAACAGAGAGGTGGTACAGTGGATAGAGTGCCAGACCTGGAGTCAAAAAGAATCCTCATCCTGAATTCAAACGTGGCCTCAGACACTTCCTAGTTGCGTGACCCCAGGCAAGTCATTTAACCCTGTTTGCCTCATTTTCCTCACTGTAAAAATGAGCCAGAGAAGGAAATGGCAAACCACTCTAGTACCCTTGCCAAGAAAATTCCAAATGGGGTCACAAAGAGCTGGACATGACTTTTCAGTCATTTTCACGACCAAACAACAACAAAAAGAGAAAATTGCCCTCTCTCCTTCCTGGTGGCCATGAGGTGAAGGATGACTCCCAGAGCTCCAGAAACCACATAGCCTCCTAGGCAAGCTTGTTTCTGAGACGGAAACCTCCTATTTGTATCTTCTCCCCTTTGTTACATAGCCTTGTGATATCCTGAAAGGTCAAAAGTCCATAGCAGAGTTTGCCGGCAGCCAAGCCAGGTAAAGCGCCGTCCCAACCCTGCATCAACCCATTAGCTGACACACCTTGCACTACAGCGAGGGAGTAACTTGTCCATCAACTAGGTTGCATTCAGAAGTGGACTTGGGGGGGTGAAGGCTTTATAGCAACCATTTAACATATGACCCACTCTACTCAGGGACTGAAGTGGTAGACAATGTACTTCCCTCCCATTTGAAGGGATCCATTTATACTTTAGTTGGGGATATTAATCACTGGTATCAATGATATTGAGGAGCTATTAACTAGCAATGGAGGCTTGAGTCAATAACATTATTATTAACAGATACTCCCAACACCTCAGGGTACCCCTAGAAGCCTGAGTGAGAGATGGAGTTGCCCTCTGGCAACCCAACTTGCCATTGCTAATGGGAGGTTGAGAGATAAAGGACTCCAGAGTTTGTAAGAGGTACAGATACTATATATATAGATATATAGATATATATACACACATACATACACATATATATGTAGATGTATATATGTATGTATATATGTATACATACATAAAAGTGTGTATATATAGTCTATAGTATATACACACACACATGTATAGTATATATTATATATACATATATGTATAGTATTTGTATATACACATACATACACATATGCATTTACATATAAATAGTATTCTGCACCCATAGCTCCCCACCTCTGCAAAGAGTGGGAAGTATTTTCCTCAACTCTTCACCAGGGCCAAGCACCATCGTTGTATTTAGACAGTATTTGTTTTTTAGTTGTTATTGTTCCTATTTACATGTGGTAGACATTGCATACGTTGTTTTTCTGGTTCTGGTTATCTTGCTCTGTGTCAATTCATATATGCCTTCCCTTGCTTCTCTAAATCCTTCATATTTGTCATTTCTTACAGCATAGTAATATGCTATTACATTAACATATCACAATTCCCCATTCTACAATCTTTAGTTCTTTGCTATGACAAAAAGGGCTCTGGTAAGTATTTTGGTGTATGTGGGACATTTCTTGTTGTCTTTGATCTCTTTGGAGTATATTCCTTATTGAGATATCTCTGAATAAAGGGGTGGGGCAGAATGGTAGCATATATTTATGTGCCTGTCTTTCTGTAGCCCTCCAAAACTATTTCTACCTTTAGTCATCTTTGTCAGTTTGCTGGGTGTCAAGTAAAAGCCTGGAGTTGTTTTCCAAATGACTTTCTCTTATTGGGGATTTGGAGTAATCTTTCATGTGGTTGTTAATTCTTCTTTTGAGAAATGTTTGCTCATACCATTTGCTGATCTTTTCTCTTTACCATCACTTCCTTAGTTACCCTGGACTCAGTCACCTTTAGAAAAGAGACAATTTAGGAGGCATGTGATAGCAGTAGTCAAATATTTGAAGGGTTGTCATGTGGAAGAGGGTTTCAATTTGTTCTTCCTGGCTCCAGAGGGTAGAACTAGGAAGTTACAGAGAGGCAGTTTTTGTTTTAATGTAGTGAAAACCTTTCTCACCACTCAAACCATCACCTGAAGTAACCAAGTCTTCCAAAGAGACTAGAAGACTTCTTTTGAGGTTGTCATAAATAAGATTTGTGAATTAGGTAGTCCCTTCAATTCCCAAATCTAATGTGTTTATAATTCTAGATTTATGATTTGTCTGAATTGATACTTAACTATTTTCTAGTAATGCAGTATATTTTTTTTGTGCTTTTCTCTTTAAAAGTACAGTACATAATCTTAGTACTGCAAGGGACCTTAGAGAACACCTAGTCCAAATTGCTTATTTTACAGATGAAGAAACTGAGGACCTTTGTTGCCCATCAAAACTCTACTGAGCAACTTATTTTGAGCAAGACACTATAGTAAGTGCCATGCTGTACAGAAACATAAAACATAGCCCCTGACCCTCAAGGAGATTCCTTTGATATTAAATCCTTACTATTTAACTTTTCCATGAATACTTATTGACTTGGAGGTTCTAAGGAAGTCAGATGGATCTTTCCCCAGCATCCACTTCACTGTATGCTCAGAACTTAACTATGCCCTCTCAATAGTTGACTTATCTGTCAACTTATGCTGTCTTACTTTAGCTTGCCACAGTGTGCTGGGACACTGAAGGAGCTGAAATTTAGGAACCTAGTGTTGGCCTTTTCAAAGTCTGTCTTTATCTTGGGACTCATTTCCTGGTTTCTCTTCTCCTCTGTCTTAGCTCCTTGGGGGAGGAGAGGAGAAGAGAAGAGAAATCTAATCTACTCCAAGGATCACATTTTGTATCTTTTCCCTCTAAGCATTTTGTGGCCCCAACCAAAACACTCATCTCCTTTCACTCTGTTGACACAATATTCACTCCCCTCTCACCTGGACTGCTCCGCCTCCCCTTTTGTTTGGCCTAGCCCTTCTGTAAACCTGAGACTTTGGTAATTTAATCTCCTACACAATGTCTTTCTTTTAACTGGGTCTCCTCCATAGTTCCAATAAGGTCACATTTCTCCTCACCTCATAGCCCACATTTCTGATTCAGTAACACTGAGGCAGGTGTGCAAATGATGTCTGGGTTGGGGCAGATCCCAATATCACAGGAAACAATGCTGGTTTTACTCTGTGTCCCTTAAAAATGAATCATTCCCCCCACTAACCGTCCCCATGGCTGTTACACAATATGGTATGTTATTCATTAATTATTTCCTTTGGCTTAATAGACAACAGAGACTGACAAATGATTTTGTAAGCCCAAGAATGTTGGCCTACTGTTGGTTTAACATACAGCACACTACTAACCGCTGTCCAAGAGACAAACTGAAACAGCCTGCTAAGACATCTGATGTCATGAGTCAGAATGATAACTTCCCATGGGTACACATCCAAAATACCCCCACAAGAATAACACTTGAATGGTCAGGACCTCTTTTTTTTTATATCTGTATCTTGTGAAAATGGAGGCATAGCTAGATTGGACATCGATTGACAAGGACACAGCGATGACCACGTAAGCAATCACTTATACTCTTTCCTCCTACCTTTTGAGTTCTTACTGGTATTATCTTCATCAAGTCTGCTTAAGGCTGCTTGGCATGCAAGATCGCCACTGGGATGAATCCCACTTTCCTTTTTATTCCATCTCACTACAAGGCAAAATATTACAGCTATAGCAATTGTTGGTTACATTGTAGGACCTGGTGACTTCTGTCCAGGGGCCTCCTTGATTGGCATGGTGGGACCTGTGTACTCTCTGGGCCCTTAGGGGCTTGCAATCTGAGAAGTAAGAAGAGACTAGAAGGTGAGGTGAGCCCCAGTGCTCAATTTCCCTCCAGGGCCTTTTGTTGTCTCCTGAGCTATTCTAACCCTCTCTGTTGTAGAGAGACCAGGTAAGGATAAGTTTGGGGTTCTTAACTTTTTTCTGTATTATGGACCCTTAGGCTATCTAGTGAAGTCTTGGGACCCCTTCTCAGAAAAATATTTTTAAAGGCATAGAAAATACACAGGATTACAAAGGAAACCAATCTTATTAAAATAAGCCATCAAAATATTTTTCAAGAAATTCACAGACCACAAGTTAAGAACTCTTGAGTTAAAGAAACCTTAAGACAGGGTATTTCTCCTACTCAAGGCTGCAGGGCTTGAGACAGCTGCACATCTGCAGAGCTTTTATGTTAACTCAGGGCACTTTGGTCCTCTCTTATAGCCTAGATCCTTTGGGGTTATTTATTTATTTATTTGCAAGACAGCAAAAGCCTGAGGAGTTAGAATCCCATAAAGGCCCAGGGATTTGGAAACACACTGGGTGATGATCTCTTTGTCTTTTGTGTTCAGTTTCCATAAAGAAATAATCCCCCAAACCTGTCTGGGCAATTTGTAAAGAGAATTGGATAATTGGGAGGCACAGAAGAAAGATGCCAGGGGACAGGAAGGCAAGCAAGCTGCGGTTTGCAAGAAGAGAATGCTCTTGGCTAACAATGGAGAGAACTGCAGATTAAATAGGAGGCACAGTGTTGCTGGCAAGGAGAGTAGGAGGAGGGTTCTGCTGAGGGCCCAGAGGCAGAATCTGGGTGAAGATCTGGCTGGTGTGACCCAGATCATGAGTGCAGTCCAAGAACCCTCCCCATCCCAATCATGGTCCATGTTAGCTGACTACCCAGCTGGCTGGGCTGGGGATGACTGGGCAGGGCTGGTGCTAGGAAGAATTGTAAAGTAAGCAACATTTGTCTTCCCATTCCTCTTTTCAGGGTCCTCTTTCTTCTGGTTGTCTACCCATACTTCTCCCATATCCCTCCCTTCTTGTCACCAGTTCCCCAAATACCAAGTCTTGCAATTGGTCAAAAGCCTGGTCTCTTTGTCCCCAGAGACCTGAGGTCCTCCCCAGCAAGAAGAAAGGGAAGTACTGGGAAATGATGAGAATCCCTTTCAGGTAATCTATTTTCTCATTTCTCTTAGTACTCACTATGAGTTAGAAAAATAACTCCTACCAAGGCATTAACTGATAAGGGCTTAAGCTATTACCCTTACTAAGAATGTTTTAATTTAATAGAAGGTTCCTGAAGACTGAAAAAAGTCTCTTAGAGTCAATTCAATTCAATAAATATTTATTAAGCCCCACTATTTGTAAGTTACTATGCTAGGATCTGCAGATAACTAAAAAGAAATAACAACTAATCCCTGCATTCAAGTAGTTTATAGGTTACTAGGGGAGATAAAGCGCTAGGGGAAGCTAGGTGGCAAAGGGAATAGAGTACCCAGCCTGGAGTCAAGAAGACCTGAGTTCAAATTCTGCCTTAGACACCTACTAGCTGTGTGACCCTGGGCAAGTCACTTAACTCTGCCTCAGTTTCCTCAACTATAAAATGAACTGGAGAAGGAAATGGCAAACCACTCCAGTATCTTTGCCAAGAAAACCCCAAATGGAGTCACAGAGTTGGACATGACGGTTACAACTGAAAAACTACAACAAATAAGCGTTAGCACACAAATAAGAACGGTACAAATTAGAATACAATAAATATAAAAGACAGGTCTCAACAAAGTACTCTGAGGAGGGAGGGAGTACTTCCTGCCAAGTGAATCAAAGAAGACTTCTTGGGAAAAGCAGCATCAGGGTTGGGCCTTGAAGTAAGAGAAGACCTTACAGAGGTCATACTATAGATATTAAGGGATGACCTAAGCAATGGCACAAAGGTAGACAGATTATAGAGACCTTTGAATGCCAGGCTAGTGGAATTTATTCCAAGCTCCTTAGATAATGGGGAGTCCCTGAAGGCTTTTGAACAGGGGAGTGACATCATTACAACTGTGCTTAGGAAGATTACCAAAAGGAATAAAATCAATTGCTGCAATAAGGAGACCAAAAGATCCCAGAAAACACCTTCATCAGCAAACATCTGACTTACTTGCCAAACTTCCTGCCAAAGGCAACACCAAGTTTGACTATGTGCTCTTTTGTAAAAGCTTACAGAGAAGCATGATGGATGATTACAAGCAATATCATCTCATACATCAATATCATCAACTAGTTTAAAGAAAGCTTGGTAAGATATCCAACTAAGCCAAGTCATCCCAAAGACATTCAAAGATGTAGGTGGAAGGAGGTCTTCAGGCAAAAAAGAAAAAAAAATGGAGAAAGTTTTCAAAAATCATTTTAACAAACTATTTTATCTACCAAGAACAGTGGAGTCACCATACTTGGTGACATGACATGACATGACAGTCCTAGGTGTGTTTAAAGAGGAGGCAGAAATTGTCTAGATAAAAAGAAGATGGGAAAAAAACAGCCAGATTGAATCAAAGGATATCTGCGCTAGAAATGATATAATTGTGAGCATGTTGAAGGTTATGGCATTTTATGGAGGGGATGGTATTAAAGATCTTATTCTTTATTAAGCTTTATTACTCCAAAGTGGGCAGTTAGGTGATGTAGTGGATAGAGCACTGAGCTTGGAATCAGGAAGACATCTTCCTGAGTTCAAATCCAGCCTCAGATACTTACTAGCTATTTGACCCTGGGCAAGTCACTCAACTCTGTTTGCCTCAATTTCCTCATCTGTAAAATGAGCTGGATAAGGAAATGGAAAACCACTCCAGTATCTTTGCCAAGAAAACCCCAAATGGGGTCACAAGGAGGTGGACACTACTGAAAAATGACTGAACAACACCAGATTACCAAAAAAAGAATGGATGATTGAGAGCACATCAATAACTACTGATCCTTATGCCTACTCTCTCATCCATGCCAAATCTTTATTAGTCACCTATATGTGCACTGAGGATATTGTCTATGAGAGTATTAGTAGGGTACAAGCAGGCTTTCACAAGCAAAATTTAACAACAGATCATATCTTTTGTGAAATCGTAATCTCACAATTAACCAAAAGATTTAGAGAATATAAACTTCCATTTTGCTTATTGTTTGTTAATTATGGAAAGGCATTTGATTCATTACAAAACAAAACACTGTCTCATATATTCTTTTTCAAGTATCATTCATAAATCACAATCATTCAAGATTCTTTAGAAGATGTAATAAATAACACTATTTAGTAACCCTCTGATAAGAAAAACCAGATGAAGCACAAAACAGGGAGATATATGCTTACCAGAATGATGTCCCATTGCAATGGAGAAGATCCGTGACCAAATCTAGGTTGAAGATAGATTGGATTTGCTGTGCATGGTAAGGTCCTTCAGACACTCCTGTTTGCAGATGACATTGTTCTGATTACGTCTGACCCCAGAAAAGCTTCCTGGAAGAGATTTGTAATTACTCAAAAGAATTCGGCTTGTCTATCCACGCAAGAAAGATAAAGTAGATGAAGAATGTCTATGGTTCAATTTTCAACATATATTTGGATGAACATTCTATAGAGCTTACCCAATTATATGCATATATAATATGGCCAGTATACGTTGACAACCACCTAGACCCAGAGTTATACAGGAGTAAGCTTTTAATAGCTTAAATTTTTATTAAAACTTAAAATGGCACCAAGACTTTTGGGATACTCTATGGAGGAACTCCAAAGAAGAACAAGAGCAAAGTATATCAAGAAATCAAATGATAGGAATAGAAGATGGGAAAGGGCAAGGAATGACAGGAAGACAAGTGTTTCACTGATATTCTCAAAACATCAGGAGAAAGCAAGGAAAGCCTCCAATACGTTGGGTAGACCCCCTAAAGCAAACTTTTGGGAGAACATGAACAAGAGTCACCCTGGGTTTACATCATTGGAGGGAACTCCCAAATTGATTCGATCACAAACCCAGTCGAGTTCCTAAATGAATTGGTCTTTACTGATGGCAGCTTCAGCATTATAGAATACCAAAGGGAGAGAGATTTAGAGGAAGGACCTCTAATGCCTCTCACATTATATTTGCCTATCTTTTAAGTGGGTTTATGAGTACAGTAGTCATTCTCTCTGTCTCAAAGTCTTCAGATTGACAAGTTTCCCTGACCAATGTGTGTGTAGACGTGCATTATCACCTTTTTCCTGGTTGCTACCACCTAAAGAGTGATCACCTAGGGAGGATGAATTGGCTACAGAGCCCAACCTAATCTCACTAAACTTGCCAACAGTAGGAGTGGTGGATAAGCTGCCAAGTTCTGCATGAACTGGATATCCAGCTCAGATACCAAACTGAATATCAATATTAATATATAAGTATATCTATAAATGTGTCTATTTGGGATATATGTAGCAGCAAGGTGGCACAGTGGATAGAATATTGGACTTGAAATCAGAAGGACTAATTTTCATGAGTTCAAATCCAGCCTCAGACACTTATTAGCTTTGTGACTCTAGGCAAGGAACTCAACCCTGTTTGCCTCAGTTTTCTCAATTGTAAAATAAGCTGGAGAAGGAAATGGAAAACCGCTCCAGTATCTTTGTCAAGAAAACCACAAATGCGGCAGCTAGGTGGTGCAATGGAGAGAGCACTGGCCCTGGAGTCAGGAGGACCTGAGTTCAAATCTGGCCTCACTAGCTGTGCGACTCTGGGCAAGTCACCAATTGCCTCACTAAAAACAAACAAACAAACCAAAAACACAAATGGGGCCACAAAGAGTCAGACATGACTGAAATGATTGAAATTATGTGCATATATGATATATATGTACATATGTAACACATATGTATATATACATATGTAACACATATGTGTATATATGTACATAAGCATATTGTAGAGATATGGATTTGCCTTTCATTTCAGTAAGAACAGGCAAATAACATGTCAGAAACAATGAGAATGAACAAGAGCCAAAGGCAGGTACAAAATAGCAAACTGGGTACAGAGAGATGAAGTTGATTTTCTCTCATTCCCACGCCTCTGCCCTAGCTACACTTTATACAAAGCACTCCCTTAGCAGGAATCCATCTTTCTATTTGGTCTTCAAGACAAGAAGGTAATGACAGGCCTTCTCTTCAGGGTCCAGTGAACATCCTAGAATTAGGAGGGGGAGGATACTGATTCACGTCTTTCACCAAAGAAGTAGTTAGAGGAGCTATCTGACCCATATTTCATCCATTCTCTCCTCTTTCTTGGGTCATTAGATGGCCTTATCCAGGCAATTGTCCAAGAGAGCCTTATCCCTCAACCAGTGTGAAATTTTACCCTTCCTCTCACTCTTGGTTCTGGCAGATAAACTTGCCTCTGACTGAGGAGGTGATCTGTTGTGAGTTCAATTCCTCTTTTCTACATTGAAAAGCCCACATATTCCCCCAGAAAGGCAGCAGCATGGTGTAGTGCATAGAGAACCGAAGCCAGGGAGCCAGGAACACCTGGTCAAGCCCTACTTCTGATGTATCCTGGCTGTGTGATGCTGGACAAGTCACTTAAACTCTGTTCTCTATGCAGCTAACTCTAAGACTATGAATTACAGATAGTTCCTGGTCTAGTATTGGTAGAGGGAGTTCCCTATACCAATAAAATCACAAGTCCAGTCACTAATCCTTACATATTTACCCATTCTCTCCTTCCCTGTCTCAGAGACAGGGGTTCCCTTCCTTAATAATTCTTGCCCTTCTATCTATGTCTTTGTATCTTCAGTCTCTCCCTCAACATTTCCAACCTCCTACTGGACATCTTTATCTGGATATTCCAGTCATGACCTCAAACTCAAAAACAGAACTGATAAGAATAAGAGTAATTCATATTTGTATAGGGCAGCTTGGTGACACTGTAGATAGAATGTCTGGAAGACTCTTCCTGAGTTCAAATATGGCATCTGACACTTACTAGCTGTGTGACCCTGGGCAAGTCACTCAACCCTGTTTGCCTCAGTTTCCTCATCTGTAAAATATGCTGGAGAAGGAGATGGAAAACCATTTTCCAATATCTTTACCAAGAAGACTCCAAATGGGGTCACAAAAAATTGGGCATGACTGAACAACAACAACTCCCTAAGGATCTCAGAGGACTCTGTTCTCCAAGATAGCAGCAGTTGGAATCCCAGTTGTGGTTTAAGCCATCATAAATGGCATTGGGAACACCCTTTGTGGTCAAGGAAAGAAGTATGAGAATCTACAGGCCTGGAATCTAATAAACACACACAACACCAGGTTTCAAGGCCATCCTGACCAAGCCTGTGAGGTCTTTGTCAAGTTAGGGTGCAGGATCACTAGTGGACACAGCTACAACTTCTTGGCACCACTTTGTGGTCATAAGTGCATGCTGGGAGCCCTGGTCCAGCATTATCAGCTGAAGAATTCTTGCTACCTGCTCCAGGTTTGCTAGGGAGAGACACACACTGTGCAAACACAACACAGGATCCAAGCAGCTCCAGCCTAATGGGCCCTCAGCTGGGGAGCTCCCACCTGGTTGCCTCCCAGGGATCAATGAGCTGCTGCATTTCAGGAGACACCCCACCAAGCAGTGTGAGCCAAAGGAAATCAGCTAGCAAAAAGAAAGTACATTTTATAATTGGCTGCTGAGAAATTGGGGAACCTATGGTTAGCTCCTGCTGACAAAGATGCAAGGACATCACGACTGCTTTTATTCCAGGAAAGGCATGTGTGAGTGTGTGTGTGAGAGAGTGTGTGTGTGTGTGTGTGTGTGTGTGTGTGTGTGTGAAGTTGTGGGTGGATTTTTTTAAAACAATTTCCTTAGTGTAAGTTCTCTGGGCCTGTGGAATGCAGAAAGAGCACTCAAGTCCCAGAATCAAGGGATCCAGGCTTGAATTCCTCATCTTTGTGATCTTGGACATGTCTCTGAATCTTCTTGGGCCTGTAAAATTGTACCAGATGACCTCTGAGGGTCCTTCCACCTCTCGATCTAAGATTCCCGAGGCTGGAACCCCGGAGGAATCTCCAAAGAACTATTAGCAGCTGGCCCCAGCCGCAGGCAATGGTGAAAAGGGGGCCTTCCATTGAGAACTCGGTTACAGCCCCCAAGGCAGCTATGCACCTCGGGGCCACTCGCGCTACACACTCGGGTCCCGGGAAGGTTAGAAATCTTACATGCCATTTCCCCTTTGAGTCACCGCTTCCTCCTTCTCTTCCCTAGCAGGCTGCAGTCCTGGGGAGGGAAGGTCCCAGAGGCCCGGGCGCAGGCGATGGCCTCAGAGCCCGGCTTGCTCCGTTGGGGGGAGGTGGAGGCGTGGGGAGGGGGGGGCGGGGGGGGGGCGTCTGGCCAAGGCAGGGAGGAGGAGCTCCTGAGAAGGAGTGTGGGCGGCTAAGCAGTCCGGGCCAGAGGCTGGGGGAGGAGGGGCCGAAACATTCTTTTGAATCCATTCAGACACTCAGCTATTTCCTGCTGTACTCCAAAGCTCAGCGAGCCCCTCCACCTGCTCTTACTTAACCATTTCCTGTTTACTGCCTGCCTCCAGAAACTCTAGTTCAGCAAGCAACCAAACCCCGGGCCGAAGCTCTTTTAACGAGGGGATATGCACTTTTCACTTTCTCTCTTCCTCCCGGGGTCTTAAAGACTTGAAAGAAGAGAATGCGGCTCCCTGGAAGCTAGGGGGAAGGGTCCCCCTAAGCCTTCCCAGCGACTTAATCAACTCAAGGGCTTAAGGAATATTGGCTGG